TCTTGTTCTATAGCCAAATCATAGAATCATCATAGAATGCTTATGGTTGGAAGGGACCTCAGAGGTCATCTAGTCCAACCCCCCTGCTCACACAGGGTCACCTAGAGCACGTGGCACAGGGCTGCRTCCAAGCAGGCTTTAAAGATCTCCAGAGAAGGAGACTCCACAACCTCTCTGGGCAGCCTGTTCCAGGGCTCTGTCACCCTCACTGTTAAGAAATGTTTTCTTAAGCTCCYGTGGAACTTTTGGTGCCTCAGCTTGTGACTGTTTCCTSYAGCCCTAACACTGGAATCCCTCTTCCTTTAATGCACTTGTACAGATGCTTCAGTTCTCAGGGCTCCTCAAGCTCAAAGGTGTCCAAGTTGCTTACTGTAATTCATGTTTTCCCTGGCCAGCTCTGTACATGCATTTTTCTGCAACATCAAGTGTAAGGAAACAGGGATCACTGTTTGAGATCATTATTTCAGTTTAAARCAAAGAAAGCAAATGCCACAGTTGAGTTGTTGGGAGAAATCTAAGCGACCTCTTCTGCAATGTCAGAGGAGGAGCAGCTGGCAGGGGAGCAAGGCAGGCGCCTCTTACCCTGTTCCCTCACTCCAGCACCTGTAAGTCTGAGTTTTCACCATCCTGCCTACTCAGATGGGTATTCTCAGATGGGATGGGGAAGGAAAAAGATTTAGCTAAACACAAGTACCAACATATGTCATTTTCTACTTTCCTTCAAAAACTTTAAAGGCCATAGACAACTGAAATTCTTCAACAATTATAAAAAGCCCCAATTACCCTCAGTGCAAGTTCAGAAAAGAGGAAAAGCAAAATTAGCAGTTAAATTTCTTTTGCTTTGGATTATGGTCAATTTACGCCTTTCGGCCCCCTTCTGTGGGGCAGTGAATTTTAAGAGATAGCAGTTTTTGATGCTATTTACTACAGCAATAGGATCCACAGGTGAATAATTCTTTCAACTAATATACAACAGCGTCCACATTGATTCAAAGAACATATACAGGGGGTTTCCAAGTGCTTTTATGGCTGCTCCATGGTCCAGTCAGAAAATACGATATCCCAGATGAATAGACATTAAATTGTATAAACACAAAACTTTTTTTCTTTTTTTCTTTTTTTTTTTTTTTTTTCACTAGGAGGGCAGGAAAAGAAAAACCCTCCAAAGCAAACAAACAAAACGAAAGACACCAAATCTCTCCTGTCTGGCATGAGCATCTAATGTTTATAGTGGCCTCCTTTCTGCTGGGAACATAGACTGTAATGCAAAGAAGCAATTTTGTAAATTACTACAAATAATACACTTTGGAGTTGCTGATAAATCTAATGTCCGTTCATGCATATGACTACTGAGACACTATAAATAATTACTTGCATTTTTTTCCTTCACTAACACAGCTATGGGCCGTACATAATTTGCGAYTCAATTCAAAAAAGTAATTCTGGCCGCTGTATATAATATCTGCCCATTATATAACTGCAGTAGCTGTGATGAAAAGAACCAAAGTCTGGTGGAGAACTGTGGTTCTCCAGTCAGAGACCACAGAAACAACTATGGTTCATGCTGGATCAGCTAAAGTCAGTAGGAAACCTACTACAGTCATTAAATAAGACTTTTCTGTCTGAATTCTGCCAGTGGCTTTACCATTAACTCACCATGCGACCCCAACAAGATGTTTCATCTGTATCACCAATTCCCCTACAGCTTCCAAACCCCAGCTTCTACATGTACAGGTCATACTCCAATAGTATCATTGCTTTTTAAACTTTTTAAAATAGCATCATTGCTTTGTATTTTAAGCTGAATCTTTAGATGACAAACTCGGTCTTTGTGCCTTTGCATCTCTTTTAGCCAAGAGCAGGCTATGAGAGAGCAAGGTTATGGGCAGCCGATTAAGGAGCTTTTGGTAAACTTCCTATGTTACCATACACACGTGTGTAATTGCAGGGTTTGTGTTTCTTCAGTTTTCTCTTATTCTTAGGTGACTTAAAAAAAAAAAAAAAAAAAAGGCAAGAAAATCCAGAAAAACTGTAAATACATGAATATAAATATGGAATTAGGAGATACCATTTGAGCAGAACCTATGTGGTCTTAGGATGATCATAACTGTGATATACTTTTGCAACACATACTATGTAGCAAACATGAACATATGAATTCTATCTTACAGTTCTCATTAGAGAATGAAACAAAACCCTAGACTTCTTACAGAAAACATCTGCTTCTCCTGCAGATTAACAGTACTTATGTGACCCAAGGGAGCTGGCCCCAGGGGAAGAGGATATAGAAGAATGGGCTTGACTGCAGTTTGGTTTAAAGCCAGAGCTACATTAAAAAGCAGGAAGGAATAAAGTTAGCAAAACAGCATTGGGAAGGATTATTTAGGATTACGTGTTCTGTGAACCTGGACCAGCCTGGTTTGTTCAATGTATCTTAACACCAAAGGAGTTTCTACAGCACTGTAAGACCTGCTTCACTGCTTAGCTGTCTACCTTGCTATTCCATTGATTTCACTGAGCCCAAGCTAACCTATTTCTCAAGCCTAGTGAAAATATAAATTCGGGTTGCTAACCTAGAAAAGGGAACTGAAAAAGATATATTGATTTTCTGACCAGTAAAAGCTTTCAATGATCCCTTGTTCTCCAGCTCCTACCTTTCTCCATAAGTCCCTTTTTCTGAACAGCTYTTTCTGAACAGCTTTCTTGGAACACGATACCTCTGTGGGAGTGCTACAGGTATAAATTACATCACGCATCCTACCACAGCAATCCTACTTAAACCCTACAGAGAAAAAAAATCCCATCCTAATTAATTTGTCACCCACCCCAAACCTCTGCCACATGTGTGACACACCTCCCAGTGCCCACAGGGAATAAATGCATGGTAATCATGGAACAGTTCTGTAATCAAAGCTTGGGCTGTCGTTAAGCAACRGATACGTTCCAGTGATTTCCTGCTTGTGTCCCATTACTGCAAAGCAACTCCTCCACCATCAAACTCTGCTCTCTGTGCTACAAATATCTTTCAAGAAGATCTTCTTCACATACATAACCAAAACCTTTTTGCTAAATTAATGAGAAAGCTGGTATATATATCTGCCAAAAAGTGCTAATGCATAATTTAATCTGATACACTGTGTCGTGATTTTTTATTTTGCTCAGTCACTCATTTTCTGCAAGTTGTGGGATAAATCAAGTATAATGAACATTCATAAAAACCTATAGTATCAGAAAGCTTTTAAGTAAGGTGGATGATTCACAAGTGAAATTAAGCACACCATGCTTTTGGACAGCTTGTGTTATAGAGCTACTTATGTATTCTTCCATTTCATTAAAATGAAAAACAGATCTGAAAAAAGAATCTGAAATGGAAACACTGGATCCAAAAGAGTATTTTGAATTAGGCGGTAGTGGATGGGATGAGGGAAAAAAGTGTTTTCTTCCCATCTCAACTCTCATCTACTTTTCCCATGCCTTGAAGAAAATAAAACTAAAATTTTGTATTTCTGGACATTTAGGTAGTACTTGTCAGATTAGATCTACAGAGGCACAAAATGAAATATCATTTTTTGGTGCATTATTCGTCTTGTAGTTTATTCCTTCTGCAAAACAGTTGCAACTTCTGCTCAGCATGTCATACATTTTTCTCTTGGGAGAGTGGGTGGTTCTAGCAAAAACAAAATAAAAAAAATTAAGCTCTATAATAGAAAAACAAATTCAGAAGGGAAAGAAAGAAAGTAGAACAATTTAATACTGTATTGTGCTAAAATAACCTACCTTTTTCTTGACACTTCTGCAGAGTCTGTGACAGTGTCTGTGCATTTTCCCTCAAGTTACAGTGTTAAATAGTGCCTAAATTGGATGGAATGTTTTGGAAGAGAAAGCAACTTTTAACTCTCCATCGTTCAGCTCAGATGTTTCAAGCCCATAAATAAATTGTGAATAAACAAAATCTGTAGCAGATGATGTTCGCTCCCATACGACTGTCACAGTCTCCAAAGAAGGTGTAGCAACCCGAAAAAAAACCTGTGCACAAAGACATCACTTGATACAGGAACATGACTAGTTAAGCATCCAAGGATGAAACAGAACGAGGAAAGTTGCACTAATCCTTTTGCAAGCCGGCATTTCATTTGCGTAGCAGAGATGTCACTTAGACTTGGCCCAGCCCTCAGCGTATCAGGTTCTGCAGAGGAAATGCAAAGCTCCCAGAAAGGTGCCCCAGAAGGAGACAACCACTTTCATGGGAAGTGGTGTCTCATTAGCACTGCCTAACGGTGCTAATGCCAAACATCTGCAGAATTCAGGCTCCAAAACGCTTCCTAGAACAGTGCAAAGATCCCAACCAGCACTTCCACAAAAACCTGTTTCATGTTGTCTCCCATTATGGACAGCTGGGAGATGAGCGGGGGAACATGCTAAATCTTCCTGTCTGGCCTTGTCTTTTTGATTCCTTATCCACAGAAAAAGCACTGTTAAAAGTTGTGGGAGTCAGTCTGGTTATGGACAGACACTTGTTGGCCTTTCCCCTTTGCTATGGGGCAGCCAGGAGGTCTGGGGCTTTCTTAACGTTTACCACATGGGCCGGGTTTCCTGAAGCTCTCAGATCTCACCCAAGCATCRATGAACCGAATGCGTCAAATAATCATGACAAAATAAAACACAAACAACCCGCAAACCAWGGGGCTCCAACTACTTGAGTTCAATACTTTGTCTTTTAGGACAAGCCTTTAAGTCAAAGGCTCAGAAAATCCCTAGGTTTRTGCACCAGTGCCCTAAGAGCTGCAGCCCTCAGAGGCAGAGACCTCGCTTCCCCTTTACAGTCTTTGCATCACCTCCCTTTTCTCCCCGTGCTCCCAGCCACGTGCAGGATTTCATTAGCCTCTTGCCTTCCATCACAGCACTTAAACTAACGTTTTGGGGGGTCTCGGTAAGACATCTAAAGCACCAAAAGGGAAAAGCGACGTCACTTACACACTCCTTCTCTCGCCTCCCCGCAGCCCATGGGCCCCGAGCGGACGGAGATGCACAAGCGACACGTGCCTGCGGCCCAGGAGACGCCCGGCTCCGCGCCGGCGCCGAGCGGCGCGGGCGGCCGAGGGTCCAACGCCTGCTGCTTCTGCTGGTGCTGCTGCTGCAGCTGCTCGTGGTACCCGCTCTCGTTCAAGCCTTGAGGAGAAGGGGAGGGAGGCGGCGGACAGCGTCTAGGACAACACGGGACAACTTCTTACACTATCTGGGGCTATRAGAGATGACTGTTTTCTTGTCCTGTGGGCATTAAGGGTTCTGTAGGGTCCCATTCTGCTCCTCCTTTCAGAGAGTCCTGTTGTGTTATCCTCTCTCTGCTCACTCCCGTCAGTGTAGGTTCTAGTTACTCAGTCGTTCAGCCCCACACCAAGCAKGTGCCCGATATTACGGTTCTGTTCAATAACATTTCATACTCCTTCTGCATAGGAACAACGTTTGACCAAGCTGCTCCCATGAATTAGTAAATTAAGCATTGGTTGGATGTGCAGAAGTTACCTTGAACAAACTGTCTCTTCAAGCTCTCAGTTCAGAATTTTGCCTCTTCAAAAACTAGTTAAGAGTTGGTCTAAGCTATCAAATGCCTACTTCTGTTTCCCTATGTTAAAAGTCTCTTTTCCCTCAAATGGGAAAGGGAAAAATTGCTTACGTAAGTAATGAGGCATTATCGTCCTCTTTTTTTTCTCCATAGGAAAGCAATATCTGTCAATGTTGAATAACTCAACAARGCCACATTAGCAAACTGGTGAAGGACACTAAATTTCTTTGATCGTAGTGGTGTATCTAAGTATTAGGTAATGCTCCCAAATCCTAAAAACTAATGAAAAATACTGAAAATAAAGAAGATCGAGGTATCAAGATTCAGGTGATAGGAGTTGGGTGTAGTATTACTGTAGAACTCCTGTAGAACTGGAGTTTTACACAGTATTTCTGTAGAACTCCAGTTGCTTCCAGGAGCTTCAGAATTTTCTTCTCCATGCATGTTAGAACAACAATCTGCCACTGGCAAATTTAAACACTAAAAAAGCCAAAATAGCACTACTGACACTCTTCATATAAAATAGGGTCTCCAAATAATATAAACAGACTTATGACATCTCTACACATAAAAGGAAAAAAAAGAAAAATTTGCAAAGCTTCCTCTAAAGTATTTCTACGCAACTCCAATTAACAAAAAAGGAGCTGTGCTGCCAATATGCTTTTGACAAGTTGATAACATATTATCAGTGTCATCTTACACAATACCAAAAGCTGTGCTCCTATCTCAGAAATCAAATCTATTTTCACTCCCCCCCAAAAGAACTAAAAATGTTGTGTATTATGTAAATAGCTAAATGTCTATATGGCAATGTCTAAAAGCCCCATCACATCACAGTTCTGTTGTGCAGAACGTTATACAAATGTGATAAAATGTCAAGAAAAGGCATCTTCACAAGTTTTCTACAAGCAGCAACAAATGGACATGCTTCATTCAGTTCAGACCCATTCTTTGCCTACTCTAAGGCTACAGTTCTGTTTAGCTCAGGCCTAGGCTCTTGGCTCAGAAAAATCCTTGTCTTTTTGCTGTCCAAATGAGTGCTCAGAGCAGGTATCATGTAAGCAGTTGAAGGAACAGATCCAAACCTAACCAGTCCCACAGAACTGAAGGTTGGAGGAAAAGTCCTGCTTTTTTTTTACCTATTCTTTGGTGATGAGCAATTCATCTTCCCAATTTTTTGCTTATTCCATGGTATCTCCCAAGTCCACCTGTGTAAGAACTGGTTGGTCTTGGCCTTTTCCTCACACCCTCAGCTCTCAGCTGATCTGCCCGCTGGCAGGTGAGCGCACACACAGAACTGCATTAGAAGGCCACATTTGCCCTCTTGAGCAAGACAAGCGATGCTCGGACCGAAGCATCTTTATAGGCACCTTCAGTTGCTCCTGACCACCTCCTGCCTCGGAGCCTTCGCTTCTGCTTCGCCCTGTGCAGTGGGAACTGCTCGGGGCAGCACTGGATGCTCCTCCAGGAACTCATCAGCTCTTCAGGGAAAGACAAAGCAGTGCCAGAACATTCAACAGTTTCGTATTTCTGCCTGGGAAATACTGAGCAGCAGAGACTGTTAAATGGGAGTAGGAGGAGCTGAAAGAATTTGTAGGCCAGAAATAACAGCACATCTCCAGCACTTCTTCTGTTTTAACGACAAATTTACCTGATGACATTAATTAGTGCTGTCAACTCACGGCACCTGCTATGCATATGAAGCTTATATCCTTGGGATTAGAGGCTTAAACAGGGTGGGCATTGTTTGCTGAAGCCAAGGAATCATGCAGACCATAATCTACAATAACTTACACTACAGGGCACTRAGGAAAAAATACTGGGGAAACAAAGCAAGCAAAAGGGAAAAATATAACCACATTCTCCTTTATTAAGCAATGAAGTAATCTCACACACAAGTGTTTTCACTCAGGGCAAAACCTGTCAAATTCAAAGTTCTGTGGCAGTCTGGGGCTTTTACTCATTAATGGCTAAGACCAGCATTTGCACTGAAATGAAGAAAAATAGTCTTAAAAAGCCACAGCAACCCAACCAAAACATGGACAGCAAGCCGAGTGCTTCTCATAGATGCACCATAAATCTCTCCTAAGGCAAAAGCAGCCTGATCAGGCCCTTGCTACTGGCCCTCAGCTTTCAATAGTCAGCTTAGACAACCAGCTCGGCCCTTTYGAGTGCAAGCAGTGAATATTTGGTAAGGCCCCAGGGGCTTATTTTAAATAAAGCTTTATATAAAGCTTTCCAGCCGGTGCTTAAATGTAAACACGTGCTTAAGTACTGCGTCTGTCCAGGATCAGAGCTTGATACCCTGCAGAACGTAGCCGAGGTTAAAGCATCACCCCACAGATCGCAGCCGGTGACAGAACTCTTCACATTGCAACCTGGAGTCGCTTGTTACACACACACACATGTTGAGAGATAGAAGGAGTGGCATATTTACTAAGAGAGTACATAACATTTGCATTTTTTCACTTAAGTTGATGCTAAAAAACTTTTTTTTCCCCTTTTACCTATTATTCCCAAGGACATTAATTTTCTGTACACCTTATTATTTGAACAATTCAAAGAAAGTAATTTATTCAATAGGATATATGAAATTACCTGAATTCTACGATGTTTAACACTCCTATTTACATTTCAGAATCTGAGAACTATTAGATGCTGCAAAACAGAGTAGCCCATTTTAGCTTTAAAACAATTTGGTTTTGTTGTTGTTCAGAAGAATTGTTTTCYAGTAGCAAGACACGCAAAACAAACTGCAATTAAGCTATTTATATTCCCCCATTCATAAAGCCTTTCCTCAAAATAGCTCGAGTACTTTGAGCAGAAAAAAATACGAACAGGAATAAAAATAACAGCCTGCATGACTCACGCAGCTGATTTGCAGAACATGCAGCATTCAGAACGCTCCTAAGAGCAGACTTAGGACGGAGGGAGGGTGAAATAAGCCTAGGTGCGAGTGCTCAGGCAGCGCTGGCTCCGACACCCGCAGCTCAAACCTGTCCCYGTTGCTCCAAGCTCCAGGAGCTCCGCCAGAGCTCCAAGGCTCTGCCCTGCTCACATCAGGCCCTGCGCTCGTCGCATTTCTGTGGCCCTGCCGACCGCCCAGGACACGTCCTCAGCTAAGGCACCTTCCTCTCAAGAAAGCTTTGGTTGCTTCTCGTGCCTTTCTCCACTGCATATATTATCTTAGGGGGACTGCACTCCTTTGGTGATCTTTCAGCCCCACTCACTCTGTGAAAACTTTGACAAACACGACGATGATGTACTGGTGTGTCCAGTATCCATGACATACTCATTTTTGATATAAAAGAAAAAATGCCGGAATCACTGGCAACAATTATAGTACAGGACTGTGTCCAACATCCAATACACCCTGAAGAGAACACAGCATTCACATTTTTCTAACTGCTTGCTTTTTTACTGACAAGGTGAAGTCAAATTGTTGGTTTAAATGTATGTTTCAGCTCATGCATTAAAAAAAAGCACTTACAGTAGGTAGCGTGATTGCTGTCCAGCTTGGTAACAGGGAAGGTTTCCCACCTTTCCAATGCATGGACTCCACTAGGCAAAGCTAATAGCGTCTCTCTCCTCTCTTGCCAACCTCCCGCCACTCTCCTTGTGTTAAAGTGTTTAAATTCTCCATCCTCCAGGAAGCTCTCTGCACATTATGGACTAACACTGGAGCGAGCGTGAGGAGATAACCAGTAAGTAGCAAGGCCACAAACAGGACAAAGCCATGAGTTTAAGAGGAAGCAAGGAAGGGAAAAAATCAATTGGTTTAACAAAAAGCCTTGCTATAGGTGAGATCACCAAGGGTTAGAACACCAAACTCACACTAAGAAAGGTAAGATAATAAATGAAGAAATTGGGTATTTTATTTTCCTAGAAATTATAGCAGGTTTATTGCTTTATTCCAGCAGAAGGACCTAGTTCATGTAAGTTATGGATTACAGTCACTTGGAGCTTTTCTTCTTGACAAATTTTAAGCAGCTTTGTACATCAAATGAATGTATCTGGGTGCATCCACGCGCATGTATGGGTTATTCCTCAGTGAACTGTGATCGTCTATGACCTAGAATACAGACACCATTCCCTAAAAGGAAATAGGCACAGCCTGAAATTAAGCTTTAAAGAAAAAGAAACCCTAGTATCTGAAATCATGAAAGGAATTTTCAACAACCTGAGAGAGAGCTAGATTAGCATTTGATCAGAGCAGCAGGAGTTGACACCTACCCTTCCAAGGGACATCAGAAACACCTCTCAGTCATCACTAGCGATTGCGGCACACATTTAATACTACAAACACCAAAAACCTAATACTCATTTCTGGTCAGACATACTCAGTGATATTTAACTGTATCTCCTTATTTTATGTTCTGGGCATAAGTTTTTTGAAGCATTTTCTCAAGGAGGCAATGAACAACCGTGCTACATACCTATGTCTGCCCTTGAACTCTGAAGGATGCTTAATATATCCAGCAGACATATACAAGGGTCTTGCTTAAAACGGGAGCTCCAATTGCTGAACTCTGGCTTTCCTGCAACGGGGTCATCACTTCACACCTAGCACTCATCATGCTCTGTGGACTTGAAAAATAGGCAAGGTTCACAGAATCACAGAAGGGTCAAGGTTGGAAGGGACTTCTAGAGATCATCTAGATCATCCAACCCCCCAGCTCAGCAGGGACACCCAGAGCACGTCCATACCCCGCAAAGAATCACCTTCCCATAAAATCTTCCAGCCTAACTCACATAAACCCATTCCATCAAGCACACAAAACCCTGTATGTAATACATATGGATTGGTACCTGATAAAAGGTACTCCCAGATGTGGAAATTACCTCTGAATAGAAAGCCTAGGTGATACAAATTTGAACAGTGATCAGCTATGTTAAAGCTCACCAGATTTACATATGTGTGAAACCAGTGTCAAGAGTTTATCTATGGTCTTGTACTCACGGCTTCTATTTCTTTAGCTGAATTTTGTAAAATGTTAGAGGTGAAGTATCTGTTGTAGGTTCCTTTAGGACCTTTATAAAAAGTCAACTAAATTTTTGTTTTTTTCCTTGCAGTCTTACTGTTAGAAATCAAGATGAAGAGCGAACAAGAAGAACATCCCATGAACTCCAAGCAGAGGGTATTCCAAATTGTGAGGAAAGGTAGAGTCTTTATTAAGAATTATATTAAGCTAAAAATGAAACAAACAAAAAAACACAGTAGATGTTTACAAAGTACCTGAAATATTCAAATAGCTTTTACTGTCCCTATGTCATTTAAACTGAATTTGTAACCATGTCTCTAAGCCATAGAGAGCCAAAAGGTTTGATCTATAATTTTTTATCTGGTTTATATGCAGCATATAACCACATCACAACTTTCATAAGACTGCACATCAAAGCAGCATAGTAAATCTCCCTTTCTTTCTGAAATATATTTTTAAAAATTCATCCCTTTCCCACCCAGCAAGCATTTATCCAAGCTAAAAGCACTCAGCTTTACATAAAGAATAAATACAAGGGGGAACTGGGCTCCTCCCAAGAGTCACACAACTGTCTCTTCAGAATTGCTCAGACAGGCAGATGCACCTGCAAACTGTAACAAACAGGAAGGTTCCTTTTATATTTGCCACCCTACTGCTTTCTAAATATTTTCATTCAATTTTAACAATGATTCAATAMGGACTATTAGACACAGGAAAGAAAAAAAGGCAAAAAAATCACTTATTGATTGTAGACTTTGAGTAATAAACTGGAATTTCTGCATCAAAGCCCAGGCAATCATTTGTGTCTGAGTCTCTGATGGGCCCATTTTCAAAGAGCGCTTAATAATTACGCTGAGTTTGCACTTKGGCAGTTGAGGCGAGGAATCAGCGCCACGCGACCCTGGCGTTTTTGTCCCACGTTCTGCCAGGTGAAAACGGCTGGAGCAGCCGGGGTCACTTCTCGTGTCCTGTCCCCTCTTTCCTCCTCCAGCCCTGCTCCCACCCTTGAAGAAGTCAACGCGTGGGCGCAGTCATTTGACAAGCTCATGCTGACGCCGGCCGGCCGGAACGCTTTCCGCGAGTTTCTCCGCACCGAATTCAGCGAGGAAAACATGCTTTTCTGGATGGCCTGCGAAGAGCTAAAGCAAGAATCCAACAAAAGCGTCATCGAAGAAAAAGCCAGACTAATTTATGAAGATTATATTTCTATCCTTTCTCCGAAAGAGGTACGTTCCTTTTCCCAATACGTTCTTTGATGCTGTTTTGTGCAGTTAAAGCCACAGAAACACTCAGGGATATTTTTCCTAAGTATTTCACCACTGGTAAGCAGAGATTTAGAAAGAAAAAAGGCAAACTCAGCACTGGGGTGAAATGGTCAAAACTATTTTCCCTTGCTGATAGAAAACTGTTCATATTGTCACTAAGGCACACTAATACAAAGTCTTTTATTTGAGACCTCTACAAAGGCAGAGAGTGATAAGACTTTATCCTTGCTCAAACAATTTTTTTATGCTGGACACATCCATTTGCTTTCTCCTTTTCCACTAAGAAGGGGAAGAGGATGCTTTAAATGCACAGCAGGCTCAGGAAGTCCGTTGTTCGCCACACAGCACAAATAAATTGCCCACAGAGCAGCTGACAGAATACGATATAGATCAGAAACTGATTTCAAGAACAGTTCAAAAACTGACTCTAAAATTTTCAAAGCTACCTGTCACTTCACTGTTTGCAAGTAGGTCATGTTTCAAAGACCTGTCGGTTCACAGTTTGAATATTATCCTACAAAGAGACTGGAATTTTAAACCTTCTAACTTCCTTGAAAAATTCCTATCTTACTTGATTGTGGGGCAAATGGTACTTGTGCAGATAAAAATAGTATTTAATCTAATCGGTCTGGCCTAGTAATGCTGATGTCTTTACAGAGGCCATTGCCTTGCAAAGGGAAAAAAGAAAGGAAGAGATCAAAACATTGCACACATGGAAGCATTATATAGCTACTTGAGGTTTATATCCAATTTTTAACATAGGAATTTGATTAAGAGCTTCCTAGGTTACAGTTTCCTTTTGCGTAATACTCCTTACTCTGAATTCGGTCTCTTTACAACAGCACTAATTCCCACGGAAACAAAACGTCACAAAAATTACAAATCCATTCTACTACAGAGCAGGAAATTGGCCTGGAAAATAAGATTCTACCAGTCTCATAGGCTTTAGTAATAATGGAATTTCATGCAGCATTGTTCAAAATAAGCTTTAATTTCTTCATACTTGACAGACTACTACTACAAGATTTGAATACAGGCATTTTTAGCCTATGTATATTTGATAATCTTTACAGCCTGGAAGGATGCTGCTTTTTTTCCAAGCCAAAAGAGATGGAAAAAAGAAAATGTGCACCACACACTGCTACCATTTACCTGGCGTTTTGTTTTAACATGCAGGTCAGTCTGGACTCGAGAGTAAGGGAAGTTATTAACCGCAACATGCTGGAACCCTCCCAACATACCTTCGACGATGCACAGCTCCAGATTTACACCTTAATGCACAGAGACTCCTACCCACGGTTTATGAACTCGGCTATTTACAAGGACTTGCTTCGGTCCTTAACTGAGAAGTCCATCGAAGCATAGGATTCTTCTTTCTTAAATGTATTTATTTTAAAACAAATGGAACTCTGGGCTACATCAATCAACAGGGAATTTAGAATTAACCAGATATTTACCTGAAAATCTCTCAGGTGAGTTTTAATACAGACTGAATGTTTTAAATCTGCACAAAGCTCTGACACAGTTTCCAGGTCTAAGTAAATATTACTTGTCAAAAGAGAATGAAGAGGAAGAAGATAAAACATTTACGTTCAAGAAGTGTTTTTTTTACAATGCAACACGCAACTCGGACACAACTCTCTAAAAGGRACCTATCTGCAAAGTACAATTGCCAATTGAGCATAAAACCTAAATTTTAAGTCAAGTTTGACTTGCAAGTCAAACCACTTACCCCTTCCATACTGTGACCAAAAAACCCACAGTTGTGCTATCAAGATCTGGGTTATCCTACACTACATATGAGGTTTCCCATATGGTACAAGTTGTCCCTGGCACAGGTACGCTCGTTTTACAATACGTATTTAACACATGCAGTGGCCTAATGAAAATCAGTATGGCAACCTCAAGTTTATGGAAGCTAATGGTTGTAATTATACTGCCTATATATATATATATATATATAAAAGTAACTTTTTTTTTCCTGAAAAAAAGTGTTATTTTACTACCAAGAAACTGCTGAAAGCATTTTTAAGTTGATATTGCTGATGTTTATAAATTATTTATTTAAGAGGAGGAAGAGTCTGGGCATTTAAATTCTTAAATAAAGCACAAGAATTCTCATGCATTGTTCTCTTCACTCTGTGGGAAGATGAAGAGAACATTTCACTCCTTGTTCCTGAGAGACTCTCAGTATCAACCACCTTGTCTCTGTACACGTTAGGCTTCCTCAGTTAGGTGACATTTATTTTACAGACACTCATATATTTCACTGATGAAAGAAGCTACAACTATCTGGTGCTGATTAGACATTATTTCAAAGTGTGAAAAGGCAACGCAATAGCTCTTCTATCTACTAATAAACTGTGTTCATTTACCTTATCCCCAAAGCATCACACTTGATTCTTCACAGACATCTCCCTATAAGCATTTTTGTGTACCTCAAAATTGGTCAACAGCTGAAGTTCTAGGAAGAAAATAAGCCAAATCTGTAAGTATGAGAGTAATTTCTTTATGAGATATGATACAGTCCCACTATATTCAAATTTGGAGTTTATAGGCAACTTGTACTGAATTCTGTTTTTCCCTCCCACACATTCATTCTAATGAACCAAATGACATTATGGCATATTGGCCATACAACACATGGACAGAAGGGGAACAGTRAAAAAGCAAACAAAAATATTTCTCAGGAGAGAATTATAAAATCCATCGTTCGGTGACATTACTGTAAACTTTCTATAGCCTAATTCCAGGACTAAAGAAGTCCCATTTTGTCCTTTTTAATCTCTGAAAAAGCAAAACAGGCAGAATTTAAGAAATCAATTTACTTGCCTCCTTGATGCACTAGGCAGGAGGAAGTGTTGACAAAAGCAGCAGAAAACATCACACAAGTTAAAAACAATCCTTTTCATTCTATGGTGTCACGGAGAACTGGTACAGGGTAAGTCTGCGGGGCAGGGGGGAAAAAAGTCATTATATCATCAGAAAAGAAAAAAAATAGAGTTAAGGAAATCTCTTCCATTTACTACTAGTTAAGGCATGTTAAAGACTAGTTAAGGCCCAGTTAGTGGCTGCCAGTGCCCAATAAATCGTCATTATCAATTTATTGGCAAGGCACTCTCAGCACAGGAGGCTAAATCCAGGTTACAGGCAGACCTGGATGACAGGTACCCAGTTCAGCCAAAGATCAAACTGGCAGCATTAAGAGGGACCCTACACACAGACTGACACGTCACTTACTGCTTGAATTAGGGTGGGTAACRCTGCTCTAAAGCTGATAAAGTTTAACCAGGTCAAACTCAGCTTGTTGGAAAGAACAGTCGTACATCAGAAAAGCTCAAAGCTGTATCATGTCATGAAACGGCGCATTTAGTTTCTTTTAAGTTCTCTCTTCCCTCCTGCAAAGATACTTCAAAAAGATTACAAACGTAACAATTTTATATCATACAATATAAAATTTATTATTCTCTGAGATAAAGATATACTAAAATTGAAGAAGAGAAAAAAAACAGGATTGATTTGGGTAATTTTATGGCTAACAATAGATTATTAAAAGAAGAAAATAACAGTTTCTAGGCTTCTTTTCTGTGTGTCCCAACAGCTAAATAAAATTTGTACAGGCAATTTTTGTTTTACTCCTGTATTGCAACAATGTGATGATCCTTCCTGAAAGAATCTTAAACTTTCCTGGTTTTCTGGTTTAAGATGATACCCACGGCAGAATGCTGGTCCCTAGACAACGTACAAATACCTCTTAAGACTCTTCTATCCCCCAAAACAAACAAGCAAAATACTAGTATTATGTAATTTTGAGTCATTTTAACGCTGGATTTAAAAGAAAATTAAATGAACCAATGCAAAAAACCAACCCACAGTACAACTTATTAATTGCATTTCACTCCATATACTTTGTAATTATGCACAAACTTTTGTCTTCTCAGGCAGATACAATTTCCACTGAAATTAAAAAGCTACTATAGTGAAACTGTGACACCCACAGGAGGACAAAAACAAAGACTGGCACAAGGTATTATATATAATTTGTTAAAGTCCAAAATTATCACAAAAATCAATTTAGCATAGCTTGAAAATAAGCATGGCTGATTTGCTTTGGCATTTATCTAGCTGCAGGATATCATTAAGCTACAACTTCCCAGGCCACTGGTATTTGTTCTTCAGCATCTGCACTTTACAAACCACTAACTCCCACAGAACATGCATATTGTTAAAGACTTCCCTTTCTATGAGCCTGCTGAACAGTATTAAAATTGTATGGGCTCCCTCAAGCCGACTGCCTTACACTGACCTTTAAATTTCAAATTCATTAGTATAATACAAATGAGAGGGGAAAAAAAAAGGTAAAAATCAACCCTTTCTGGCTATATGCTCTAAATTCATTTTTTTTTTCACATTAGCACCATTAATCTAGTCATTCTTTCCAATTAAATAAAAAGCATCTGAAACACAGAAAGTGATCAGAAATGCTGTCTTAATACAAAGTAATTTTAAGAAAAGCTTGCTCTAGACAGTACTTGAGAATACAAGTACACGGCTGTCATTTCAACAATATTAACTGAATTATTTTTATATTGATGTTGTAACTATATTAACCCCAAACCAAAAGTTCTTCGAGCCAGGTTCTACGGATGAGTACTTACCACMGGTTCTAAAGGCCACATCTTTGAAAAGTGCCACAAATCACTTTGGGAATTAAGACTTCAGATTGAGGAATTCAAGTTCTACCCGAGCTGTTAAGGATTTTAATGTGTAAGTTCAAATCATGTATGTGATCGTAGGTGGAATCCAGAAAGTCAGACAAAAAAAAAAAAAAAAAAAATGGAGACATTTTCTCCATAATGCTTTAAAAGTGCTTCAGGCTTTCAGGTTGTGAAACCGAATTCACAAAAGCAAATGAAAATTCCTCAAAATGAATGTTTCTTTTTGACCACACAGAAGGTAAATGTTAAAACCCACACCTCTGTGAGAGTACCAGATATATAGGAAGAAATGCCTAAGAATCCAGAAGCCACAACTGTTTTCTGAGCAAAATTCAACAGCTCTGCTGAAGAAAAATGACTTTTTTTCCCCCCTAGTTTTAAGAGGAAGGGGGCTATCTCTTTTTCTCTACTAGYCTTAAAACGCTAGCTTAGACTCCAGCACAGCTGTGTTCAAAGTCTCTGTTCTTATCAAGAGGATTCAAATACCCCTGAGGATCCCTAAAGGAGCTACCTGTGGATGACAGAGATTTACTCTCAATGTTGTCGACAGCCTTCGTGGCATAAAAGCACTTCCAGCACCCTGGGGCAGCCGCAGTACAGCGGAGCAGCTACCCCAAGCAGGTAGGCCAAGCGACGGTGCCAGCCCCACCTTGGATGACTTCTACATGTTCCTTAGGCTTTGGATCCTCTCTGGTAGAGCTGGGAGAACTGCTGAATGAAGGTGCATCCAGAGTCACTGTGGAACAGTCTTCACTTTGGATTTGGGTACCCAAAGGAAGCATGACTAGAACTTATACACACATATTCATTTTGCATCCAGTTCTCGGGGCCCATCTTTCACTATAAGAAAAACACTTCTCATTTTTCCCTCAGGGGCAGAAGAGTGAAAGCCTGAAGGCTGCTGCCATCGGCCACAAGGTAGCACTGGGTCAAACAAGCRTCTTGCTGGATACACATGCGTCACAGAAAGCCCTACCACAGTTCCAGCTCGTCTAAAGAGGTCCAAGTATGACTGAGTAGGGAAACATCAGTATATAATTAGGCATAAAGATATGCAACATGAAGAAGGCTATGTAAATCAAATCCATCCTGTACGTATTTTGAAGAGAAAAAAAAATTAGGTCTAAGCGACATCCAATTACATATTTTTTATCATTTTTTTTGGCCTTAAAATTCCTTAAAACACTGTCATTGATAGTGTCTACAATTCATTTGCTGCTGCCTTAAAAATAYATATATATAAACTATATATAACTATATAACAACTATATATAACTATAAAACTATACACACACACACACACACATCTTTAAACGACTCTTAACAAGCAATCCTGCCAAAAGGACTATATATAAACAGACTTTGAAAGTTAATAAAGAAATTATTCGGAATTAGAGTAATAATATGAAATACTGTTTTTATACAAAGTTATAAAAGAAATTTTGAAATACTGAACAATTTTCTACCTTAAAAAAGGTTGCATATGTAACCAAACTTAATTCTTGCTTTAATCACTTCTTCCTCTCAAGACAAAAGCCCTTTTCCTTGCATAAGCTGACCAAAAAAGGCTTGCTCTATAAACTATTTAACCAATACATCTTTTGCCTTGCAGTGCTGAACTGTYGTCACATTATTTCATGCTATCTCATCATACTATCGTACCACAGACTATCTCACGCTTTAGCCCTGCCTCCATCACACAAGAAATAATCAATAAAAAATATTCCCATTTGTCCTTTACAGTCAAGGAATTTATTCCCCAGAAACTGCACATACTTCCCCCCAACAATTCTTTATACATTGACAGGATAGACCTCCTCAGCCCCAGGGTTAGATAAATTAAATGATAATACAAACTTAGGTGTAACATAAATATTTTATCACTTCCAAAGATGTTGACATGTTTTTCTTGAGAGATCATTTGGAAAATACTTTTAAAAATGTGCACAGGCTCCAACAAACAGCATTTCTATCATCCCACTCTTCTTCTGCTCYCTGTGTTTACAAATCTCATCAGTTACTCTACGTTTCAAAATTCAGCTCATGAGCAAAATTAATGGCATCTGTATCAAATGAATTTGCTATTAATACTCCAGCCGGTTTTATCCTGAGATGAATGTGTTCACTGGCAATCATGAGGACAGCCTACCACAGGATGCCTTTGCTTATTTACAAAGTTTAAGTACTCCTCATTGGCAAGCACGTCAAGCAAAACAGGACAATTGCATCAAATTTAACCAGGTATTCTAAGATGTTCCTAGAAATAATATCTATGGATAAAATACAACATACACTMTTCAGAGAAATAAAATCAATAGCACTGATTAAAGTTGTTCACATAAACAAGCTCAACCAACTGTTGCAAAAGTCAATAYAGCCATTAATAAATTTCCAAATCCCGTGATCAGAATTTTAGTGCTAATTCAGAAATGCTATGTACAAACCAGAGAGTTAAATCAAATGTGATTCAGCTAGCAAAGGGATTCCATGTGATTAAATGAAGCTGGATGCCTTTTCTCTTTGCAATATTAGTAAACATACCAGTAAGAAACAGGAATTATTCTTACTATTTAACAAAAGTGGAGAGGCAAGATACATATGGGAGGAGGAGGCATGTTTGGACTGTAAAAGAAAAAAAAAAATACAGTGCATTATTTATATAGGTAGGAAAAAAAAAAACCCAAGCCAGTTACCAAAAATGTTTAATTGGTAAAAGTTTAATGTCAACTTACTTATAAAAATGAAAAAATATTTTAACATTCACCATACAATTGAGCAACCTGCCCCTACTGTCTATTAGCTCTAGGAAAGCATTTAATGAAATGATGATTGTGTCAAAATAAAGGCTAACTTCAGGGATGTATGCTGCTTAACAGAGGTGAAAAGAAAAGGAAAAAAGAAAGAAAAGAACACCCTCTCATTTGCAGGAAGCTAGATGCTTAGCCTAGTTTTTAAAGCTAATTACAAAWTCCTCTTTCATACTGGTCCAGATGTCTTGATAACATCTTCTTCTAACAGAACTGTCAAAAGAAAACAAATATATTATGAGATCTTCACGCACCTTGCTTCTAAATAATTCCAAAATAAACAAGAAAATGACATCATACTTAAGATCTGAACATTTTTAGATAAAGCATTTGCTTATGCCATGCTACTTTTCCTTCACTCAATCATTTGTAACTGCCACCTTACAGAAAATACTAGGGACAATTGAACTCTTTCCTCTATGTGCTGTGACAATCAATTTCTAACCTTTATAAATTATTTACATATCCTAGAGTATAGATTTGACCTATATTCAGTCAGAATATAACTAAAACTTAATTGCATTTAAAAAAATGTTTTCTGCATCTTATTTATCTTTGGTTATGTTGTGCATCTGCAGAGCTGCAGCATTCTGCATATGGAACAACAAAGATATCATGATTTATGTGGAATGTTACTGCAGCCAGGCTGAAAATGTTATAGCTCTTCATTAGGTATTCCTCCATTTCACTGCACATCGCTGTTTCCAGAAGCTTTTGAAATTCCTTTTTCCTCAACTTTAATAATAAAATAAAATCAAGTTATCACCATCTCACACTTCCTGACACAGGAACCTCTGTGTCAGAGATGACAGAGGTCACCTCTTTTTCACCTGTCCTTCTTTAGAGAGTAAAATAGAAAGGTTGAATAAAAAAGGTCAATAAAAGGTCATAAAAGGTCAAAATAAAATAAAATAAAATAAAATAAAATAAAATAAAATAAAATAAAATAAAATAAAAATAGTCAAAAAAAGATTTACTTTATTCACAGGTTTAGAGATTTAAAAGGGCTAGAACATCTTTCAGGGAACCAAGACAAAGGCAGAGATGGACTTGCCACAGTTTGCAAGGCAGAGCAGAGAATCTCCACCTGAATGTCACAGGTCTAAGTCCATGTCCTGACTTTTCTTGCCCTGCCTCCCTCCAGGCCCATGTGTTCTCACATCCTCAATCAAGGTTATTTTTCCAATCTAAAGCCATTTGGCAATATCACCATACAAAATTAATCAGTAGGTTTGCAAATAACCACAAGCCAAGAGAAACTCATTTGCTATTTACTGTAAAGCAGAACATTAAGCACAGGGCCCATCTATTAGCAAACACGCAAAGCAGTAGCAGTCTTACCTTCCACCTGTTCCCACATTCATTACACACAACAAAAGTCGTCATAGGTTCATCAGCACTGCGGGTTTGAACCTTCAGCAAAAGCAAGTAAAAAAGGAAAATGAGTATATTTTGCTAGTACACGTTCAGTGCTAAGTTTAAACTAATTTTAAACCCCTAAGAAACATATTTGAAGAGAAACGTAAGTTAATTTTTCATTCCAGTTAAAACCAGACTTACGTATAGACTATAAAACTTAAGATTTTAGGTCTGTTCTAATAGAAGTACTAAAGATACCAGTTTCAGCAATGAATGACTTCACACAAACTTCACAGGAGAAAGTCTGCAATAAAACTACACATTCTGTATGGCTTTCTACATATTTCCTGATGAAAAGGATTAGAGGTTTCATGATTGAGAAAAACAGCTTTCTACTTCAAGCATCTATTATACAGTATTACATTAAGAATTTAATTGATTCTGTAATCGAAGATGTATGCCCTGCAGGACTACTAAACAAATTAAGCAAATTAAGGCTTTTTTTTTTGGAAATATCTCCTAATTAAACTAGAAATGTTTCTAGGAATGATTACAAATAAGGGTCTAAACAAAAGTCAAATTATACATTATACATATCTGCATTTTTGCRATTTACTCTCTTTGAAGAAAAATAATATACTATTTAATACGGTTAAACTATTTTTTGTATTAAAAGCATGTTACCAAAATGTAATCAGAAGAGACAGCAAAAACTCAGCATTGCAAGAAACTGGCACTTAAAGGCATTTAGATACCAAGCTGGAATTCACATGAAATTTTCAGTAAACTGATGCAACAAACATTCCTCATGTAAGCACATGCAAGTATTTCACACTGCCTTCACAAAAATTTCTGATTTGTTAACCTTATCTTACACTACCATTTTGTAACTGCAACTATTTTTCTCTCTGGCTATCTTTACAGAGAAGTTAAAACTTGAAAAAGGAGAATGAACAATTTGTAGAACCACGCACCTGAGTGTACGTACAGTTCTTCTTTTTACACTTGCCGCATGTGAACAGGTCCGTTTGGGTGCCTCCTGTTTTAGCCATCTGGTGCTCTCTGATAGCTTCTTTGGTCAGGTTTTTGCGCATTTCCTTCAGCTCATCACTTGCCATTTCCTGTGAGAGCAGACATACAGCAGAAAGTGTTTACAAGAAAGTTTGTTTTAAGCAAACTGTTACCATTGTTCACAGCACATATTTCTGAGGATATGTATCATTCTGATTCAGAATCCACAAAAAATTCTTTACCAAAGGGGAAAATAATTCTACAAATTTAATTTTATTCTGTAATTTAAACTATAAGGCTTCAGTTGGGATGTTTCACAAGTTAAAAAATAAATTTTCATTTTGTATGCAGATGAATAATCAGTAGAAGTTTCAATACAACTAGAAACACGTACTTGCAAATACAATTCTCAACTTCAGAAAAGAGAGACATAAGGTACAGAAGGATAAGGACATCCTCTCCCTTGGCTAGGTTAGGTTACTTGCATAATATCTCATTGACCTACAGAAGACAGTTATCCTATAAAAGCCCTTTATTTTGTTTATCTRTATATCTGTACTAAGAAATAGAGTACAGCCATGGAAGCCAGTATCTAGCCATGCATATCATCACTAGAAGYGAGAACACTAATATTTCTCATCTATTTTGGAAACAGGATTCCAAAGCTGAGATCCACAGATTTCATTGTCTGGACATTAAAACAGTCTGAATTCATAGTCCCTCATTAATTTATCCCCCACCTGCCCTGCTGGATGTTCATTAAGCACATCTTTTGTCACAAAGGCAAAACCTGCCCCGAGCCTGGCTGCCAGGCARTGGTTCTCAGCAAATAAATAAATAAAACCCCAAGAATCACTGGTACAAAACACAACACTGCCAGTGATGCAGGAGGAGGACAGGGCAGAGCAGAGCAGTTCCTTATGAATAACCCATCCCAAGGAAGATACAGGACTTCATTTTAGACAAAAGACTTTTTCCATCTTAAAGCCACCCCCCAAATCTGTTGCTTTATTGGTAGCTCCATCAAGTCTACACTGCGTGAGAGCAGGTTTCCTTTTCAGGGAGACTTCTGCAAAGTGCTATTTCAAACCAAGACTTAATCAGATTYCTAATACTGATGTTGCAGCAGTGTCACTAAAGGACAAAATAAACTGTAATATCTCTTATTAGCAATTCATCACCTCCTGAGATTTAAACTCCTACTTAAAGAAGCCTTCCTTCCTCATTCAAGGAGCTGCATCTAAGTAGAAATATATATAAAAATTTATCATTAGTCATCTATTCCAACTTACAATTATTAAAAAGCCTGCAAGTTTAACAACGAAAGCTGATGCACGAAATTGCAGTTTGACAGTGTTCTTTTTAACTTCTATTACCACAGTGACTTGTGGGTATTTTTGCATCCTTGGCAACACATGGATTTTCAATTATTGCATTCAGCTTGTGGGTTAGCTCTATCCAAAAGGAGATCTCTCTAAATACTATACAAATAAATTTATCAAATGTTAGTTGATTTGTTTTTGCTAATAAACTTTTTTTAAAAACTTTTATTAGCCAAGGTTTATTTTCATTAAATGTCACACAAGCACCTATCTTCAAAAGGTTACACCAGTAACACAGAATCACTGATTTTTTTTTTTTCTTTAAGAAAAGGCTGTAATATGCAGGATCTTCAGAACTGTACAGTAACCAAGTAGGCAGGGTGAAGAAACTGCTGTTTTTCTTCACTAAAATGTTACCACTGAATTCCATGTCTACATGGGATGATATTTTCCTTAATACCATTTCAGTTAGAGCTCATCTTTATTAAATCWTTTTTTTTGGTTATCAAATTTATAATCTTAGCCCAGACAGAAATTATGAACCTAAAGGATGGACAATGGAAAACATGAAATGTTTCTTTGCATATGTGTACATATACCCAGAGAGTTAAAAACAATTCAAACTATTTCCTGAAGATCCCATCCACATTTCTGTATATAAAGATTCCTTTATTGGCCTCTTGCTTGCCCTGCTCTCTCTACAAAGCTACAGAAAAAGCTGTTCTCTAGAATAAAGTTMATCAGGAATTTTACTACATGATGATAAATTTAACTTTCTCCAAGTCTCCAAGATGCCATATATCTTACACATGCAGGCACACAGGTGGGTATAAGTTAGGGGTCTGAAGGCAGAATGCAACATATAACAGCAAGGCTACAGGACTCTAATCAACTTTTAACCATAGTTCTTTTTCTCTCCTATAATATTTAATTTTATACTTCTTAATTCTGACATTTATTTTTATTTATAAAGATCATGAGCACCTCAACAGGAATTTCTATTAATGTCTTCTAAATATTCTTTCAAGGTCAGAAATTTAATTTAAGGGGCAATTTAAAGGSTAATTCTTCTAACTAAAAAAAGATGAAATAACTGAAAAAAGACGCGCAGGTAGTTTATATAAATTATTCCTATTTCTAATAAAGATAGGCCAGGATGCAAGTCAAATATGGAAACAGTTCAAGGCCCCTTCTCTACTTACCTCTGCTGTCATTTTGGCAAACTTGTCAGGAGGTATGTTCCCACATAGCACGTTTTTCCTTAAATTAGGATTCTTTGTGTCCTTCAGATTAGCTATCCTACTTCGTACCCTATTTTTGTATTTCATATCAGTGTTTTTTAATTCTTGAAAAATAGGTGCTTTGGATTTAAGGAACAAAACGTTAACAGGTAAATACTCGCAAGCATTCAGTACTGGGGTGGTCGTTGTAAAGATGCTTTTCCGCTGCTGATCAAGTCCTTTTGATCTCCCACCTCAGACAACAGCTACTTTATTGTTCAACACAGCAGACAATACCCCTGTCCCTCCCTCTGGCTTAAGTCCAGTTTTACACATGGTCAGGAAAATGTACATTTTGTGGGGGTAGGATCAGACACAGAATCACAGGGTGGTTAAGGTTGGAAGGGACCTCTAGAGATCTTCTAGTCCAACCCCCTGCTCCAGCAGGSACACCCAGAGCACGGGGCACAGGGCGGCATCCAGGYGRGTTTGGRAGAYCTCCRGAGAAGGAGACTCCACARCCTCCCTGGGCAGCCTGTGCCAGGGCTCTGTCACCCTCACAGTGAAGAAGTTCTTCCTCACRTGCAGATGGAACTKCCTGTGTTTCAACTTATACTTRTTGCCCCTTGTCCTGTTATTCTTAGTAAAAACTATTAAAGAACATTCATGAACTTAAGAACAGTTCCTTGATCTCATTCTGGGGATTAATTAAATTCTAAATTAAATACACTTACTTCAACAAGCTCATTAGCAAAATTTTAAAATATTTTTTCCCAAATTTTCCAAGCAAATAGGAAATTGCTTTACAGGAATGATGGGTTGTCAAGTTTTAAGTTTTAAGGCAAATCTGTGATATTTTTAAACACTGAGTTTCTACACTGTGTTGCTTTTGTTTTAAATGAAAGAATATTCAATGTAAGGATCAAGTCAACTAATTTTTAACCTATTTAAACTGGTTTTTAAATTAACAAATATTCTTATTTTTAAAACGATTTAATCTATTTTGTAACAAAAATTCTTATTTTAGAGCACACAGGTGTAAAACAAAGGATATCTTCTTCAATCTGAGAACCCAGTTCTTCCTCATCAGCACCAATAGCAACATAATCATCTAAGAAAAAACAGAATAAGAATATTAGCAATCTGACAGTCTTATCAGTGTTTTATACCACCTGAAGAGCTCTTCTCGATCTCTGAAACAAAGCAAACTAGGCAACCACAGTTAAGTTKCCCTTTGTACAAAGTAACAAAGTTAAAAAGGTAAGACAAAAAATAGATTTTTCTTAAAGAAAAAAAGTTCTAGCTACAAACAAACAATAATAAAAATCTTTGTCATGCAACCAGATTTCAAATACTCTAATCAGCTGGCACCTATCTCCACAGTACATCTGTATGTGCAGAGTACACTCAACGACCAAATGTTTAGACATTGTGTTTTATCAGTTAAAGCCCCAGAATGCAAGTGTGTGCATTTCATAAGGGGGGGGTGTGCACGTGTGTTTGTGCTGTGTGAGAAGGGAGCGCAAGAGAGAATGTATAAACGGGAGATAGCAATAACAGAAACATCAGTAGATAATAAAAAAAAAAAAGGCTAAAGAAAATAAACCTTGGCAATCTTGATAATACAATATTTGACCTGAAATGTCTCAAAAATAATTGTTTACCAATTCTAACCAAGCCTGTTATTCAAAAGTGTATCTGCCCTTCAACACAGGGCAAATTAGATAAAATATGCATTTTCTTTCTTCTCATTTAAGCACGAGTAGACTTCAGTCAGCAATCCAGACAGTTCTGTCTCATGCAGAAGACCACTAAAACAAGCAAAATAAGTCCCACTGTACTTTGAGTTTGGTATTGGATTCATGCATCATCAGGTAACATATGYAAGAAGAGGTGACACTGCAAACAAAATTCTTGAAAATCTAACTAAAATTACAGCTAAATAGAAACATTAAGATGCTTTATCATCTAATCACAAATTATTTTAGAATCCTATGAACTACATATCCACAGAATATTAAATTATGGTCTTTGGTCAGCTTTGATACTTGTCTGTATCAAAGTTCTGAAGTCCAAATACCTGAAGTCRGAAGTGTGAAAACTAATGTTTTACAGCTTCCCTTACATTAGGGCAGGTTATGTTATAACAGCAGAAGGGGAGCTAAGTCCTAAGTTCTAGTGGAAAACACTGCAAGAATTCATGCAGGTCATTCTGGAAAGTCCAATTTTCACTCTGCTCCCCATCTATTGTATGATTTCATTTGCTAGCGATGTCCAAGCGTATATGAGACTGGAAAAAACCACAAGCAGAAAACTAGACACTGAAACAATTTACAGCTTCCTCGATGACACAAAGAATGAGCAATGGGATAATCATCATCACAGGTACCTCAATAAGGCTTCAAGGTTAAATCTAAACTCAAAGTCAATTTTAATAAACAGAATCTGGAGGCTCACAAGACTTCTTGTGCAAGTAAGAGAGAGGTATACAGTGATACTCTCACAGACACCAAAGAAACAGCAGCTTCAAAAAAAAAAAAAAAAAAA